TTCGCGAAAGCGAAAATGCAAACGGTAATGCAGGATTTGCAATTGCATTTGGATTGTGTCACAATTTATGCGTCCACATATTGAAAACGCAATTGAAAACACAATTTGCAATTCCTTTTGAAAATAGTCCAGAATATCCTTTCATAGTATGTCGCCTCAAATGTTTAATTCAGTTTGCAAGCACATAAGATGGCGATAAAACGGTTAATATTGAAGGGACGGCGTTGAATAAACCAATACAAAGCTTTTTCTTTGTCACTATGTCCTGGCAGGCATGTTCAAATCTTTTTCTGGCATTGTACGCCATGCGGAGGATGCAGTTTTGCTCTGGAGATCTGCCCTCACAAAAGCTTTTCTCCTTCATCCAAAATATGATTCACATCTGCTGATGAGTAAACCCCATTTTAAAACATTTGGAGTCATATAAATGATTTGTCATGAAGAATTGCTGAAACATATTTGTTGCCTTGAAGCAACATTGTGTGGGAGTGGAACAGATACGGATGCAGCCGCTATAGAGAATATTGCAGTTATCATATGTTTTTATTTATTATTATTTTATTTATTATTTAAAAAAAATGATACTTTTCAAATAATCAATTTATTAAATATTCATTTATTTTAGTATTTACTTTTTTTTAAGTCCTCCCAATTCCTAAATATAACTTTACTTATGCATGAAAACTGAATCAAGCATTTTTAAACATTTTTTTTTTCATAACGCATGCAAAAATATCATTATAGGTTCATTTCAATAATTCAGTGAAAAAGACACAGCACTATCACACTGCTTATTCAAATGATCATTTATCCATATAAATTATTTAGGTAAATTTATAATTTAGTGAAAAAAACGTAAAATATCACAGCACTATCACACTGCTTATTCAAATGATTCATTTATCCATATTATTTTTCGGTATTTACTTTAAATTTAAAATTCCCCAATATAACTTTTCTTACACATAAAAACTGAATCAAACATTTTTTTATAATGCATGCAATAGAGGGTTAAATATCATTGTAGGCACATTTCAATAATTAAAAAAGTTTAAAATATCACAGCACTAATTCATAACCCTTTAAATTACGAGTAATAACAAAATAATATTAATGACAACTAAATAATGTCTGCCATTAGCCACTGGCTATTAAATTATTAAAAATGCATGGTTGCCACATTTGAATTATAATTACTGAAGTTTTATCATAAAAAAATGCTTGATTGCGTGATGTTTCCTAAAACTTTAGTTGTTATTTTTTCTAATTATATTACATTTAGATATAAAAAAAAAAAAATACAAGCCAACAGTGGATATATTGCTAATGTGTGCACAGAGGGTTGATTCAGTAACGTAATCTGTTCTCTCTCAAATTAAAATGTCTATTTGCTGACTTCAATGGGGTCTATAAATACATTGATTTCAGTGGTGCAAAGATCAATGTTCACTGGACAAGAGGCTCTAAACATGTTATTCTGGGTCCCGACTGGATGCTGTGCTTCACTGGGAGTCTATGAGAGCATCATGAGCACCATTTGCACCAAATCACCTGATTTGTTTATTGGACAGTGAGGTTTGCATTGAAGTATTTTCATCCTGAGAAGTCTGAAAGCTTCTCTACACAACCAATGATTGAGTTTCAAAAGGAACGTTGGAGATGCAGTTAGTTGAAGTCAGTCTCACCACATTCGGGTCAGTGCTCATAATCTTGTCTTTTGCCTGCTGGCATTTGTAAATAATGCAAAAATGCAATTCAGAGATTGGTAGATTTTTTGCATCAAGTGTTGCCACTGTTTAAGTAGTAGCAACACTGAAGACAGCAAAATAAATAAACAGATCGAAGAACAAACGCTGCCATATAACAACTGACAACTGCGCTTCACATGCTACTGAATCAGACGAGTGACGCCATCGGTCGAGTGATATGCAGGAACCACAGTTGACCTCTAGATGTCACTGTTCTGCTCTGCTCTTTAAATGGAGAAGTCGTGACACATTTAAGGCTTAAATATCACTCACATTCATGTCAGCTTTGACTTTCAGCGTATCAAACTGTGATATCACATCAATTCCCATTCCCGGTGCAGTTGTGTGGAATAATAATATGGTGCTTTTGAGAATATGAACCCCTGACAGCAGGTTCAGGAGTTCAATTGCTGGCTGATAGACTGAAACCAAGTCATTTCTGCCCGGAAACTGACTAACAACAAGACTAGAGAGAGTGAAATTAAAATGTTAAAAATGCACCCTCCAGCGAGTGAGCATGATAAGAGCAGTAGGGCTGGGCGATATGACCGTGTATACTGTGTGTGTATATATATATATATATATATTGCTATCAGTAGCATTATTTAAATGTGACAGCGATGGAAAAACACAGAATATTGTGAAAATAAAGGGGCATGTACCAAACGAGTCAAGACGAGGAAGAAAACGGGTGATTGTTAGGCACAAGCAAAAGCTTGGCAGTGTTATTTTAATATTATTTACATACTCTTTTAGTATTTTTTTATATTTTGCAACTTTATTTCTCGTAATGTGTCTTTATATCTTTATATTTAAAACTTTATTTCTCATAATTGTGACTTAATTTGTCACAATATGGCTTAATATTTAACGATGTGTCTTTATCTCAAAAACACCACTTTATCATAATGACTCTATTTCTCATAATTGTGGCGTAATTTACCACAATGTCTCTCTATATCTCATAATTGAAACTTTGTTTCTCATAATTGTGACTAAATGTCTCACTATGTGTATTTATATCTCACAATTTGCCACTTTATGTCTCATAACTGTGAATTACTTTCTCACAATTGGAACTTTATTTCCCATAATTGTGACCAAATATCTCACAATTTGTCTTTATATCTTACAATTGACACTTTATGTCTCATAATTGTGACTTAATTTCTCATGTCTTCATATCTCACAATTTCCACTCTATTTCTCATAATTGCGACTTAATTTCTCACAATTGGAACTTTATTTCTCATAATTGTGACTTACTTTCTTACAATTGGAAATTTATTTCTCCTAATTGTGACCAAATATCTCACAAAGTGTCTTTATACCTCACAATTGCCACTTTATTTCTCATAATTGTGACTTAATATCTCACAATGTGTATTTACTGTATATCTCATAATTGCCACTTTATTTCTCATAATTGTGACTTAATATCTCACAATGTGTATTTACTGTATATCTCATAATTGCCACTTTATTTCTCATAATTGTGACTTAATATCTCACAATGTGTATTTACTGTATATCTCATAATTGCCACTTTATTTCTCATAATTGTGACTTAATATCTCACAATGTGTATTTACTGTATATCTCATAATTGCCACTTTATTTCTCACAGTTGTGTCTTATTATCTCACAAAGTCTTTATTTCTCACAGCTGTCACTTTATTTATCAAAGTTGATTTAATTTCTCACAGTGCATCTTTATATCTCACAACTCTCACTATATTTCTCTTTGTTTCTCATAATTGTGATTTATTATCTCACAATGTGTCTTTATACAGGCATGTCACAATTGCAAGTTTATTTGTTGTAATCGAGTTTACCTTCTGTAATTGTGACTTTATATTACACAACGTGACTTTTTAGTTCTTCTTTCACATTTTATCTCACAATTACATGTTTTATTAGTTAATTTAGTGAGTTTTCGGTCAAAACCACCCCTCCCTACGGATCATACAGATCATTCCAAGAGAGTAAAAGAGTGTTTTTAAATCACACGACAGAAGGATGCAGGTGCACTGTGAAATCACCTCAAAATGACGCTTTCTCCTTCCAGCACGGTAATGTTGTCGGGCAAGTGTCCGAACTCGGCCGCCTGAGCACCGGTGGGCCCTGCCAAAGAAAACGAGAGAGGAGAGACAGTGAGCATACAGCAGTTATTCCAGCAACAGAAGGTCCACTCCATCCCCGAGTCCCCCGGGTGGCATGACGCCGGGTACTGAGTACCTCATTGATCCTGGTCAGGCAGGATTTGTTTTTGTGGTTTTGCTTAGTTATTTGCAAGGAGAGAATAATAAGACCGCAAAACGACATCATGGAGCCGTCAGCGCTGACCGTCAGTGGGCTTGAATAATGATTGGGCTCTGCCCCACGTGCCGCCTGGCCGTGCACTCGTCGAACAGACCCGATAATGAGCCCGGGGAAGAGGATTCGCACGGAAGCGGCAGAGCGTGAAATGAAGGAACCGCCACTGCAATGGGACCGAACACACACACACACTGGTGCATGAGCACTGTCACTTGTGTACAAACACATACACATGCGTTTTCATATGCATGAATCAAACTACACACTGGGATACGAACAAACCGGGACATCAGAGGAAATGTGAATTTGCTCGGGCTGTTTGCAGGTGGCACGGACAATGTCAAATTCCTTTTTAGTTTTCAAATGCCATTCTTGTTCTTATCTATTCAGGGTGTGCAAAATACGCTCCAATTTCCTCTGCAAACAGAGATTAGCGTGCTATCGGCGCGGCTCCGTCGCTAGCCACGTCAGCGCTGCCAAATGCCAGCGTGGCACCATCTTCCAGACCTGCTCATAATCCCCGTCCTTAATATCTGCTGGCCAATATTTGGTCGTCCTGCCTTCGAGGTTTAATATACGAGACACAAGTGCAGTCAAGAGTTAAGAAGCACCCGGAAGGTCTTGGTGTTTAACGTGCAATGCGAAGCCAGTGAACCGACGGCTTGCCAAGTGTGATTGGACAGGGAGGAAGACAAAAGGAGACATGCGGCACGCGATGGCCAAGCACTGGGCTTTTTTAATTTGAGACGGAGCCATGGCAGAGGCACCCCAAATTGCACATAGTAATGAAAAGAAGCGTGGGCTGCATTGTCATGCGCGTCATGGTATCGTACACAAATTGCATAAAGCTGCTTTGCATTATCCGCTGAAGTGACCAGCAATGACATTGCTAAATTAAGTTTTGTCGACTCACAAGGGCACGGACTGATTTAAATCAGAGTAATTGCTTAATCATCTTTCAATATTTTCATCATTAATCATTCTTTTTAAAGACAAGTGCTTTAGTTTGGTCTGTGTATGCGTGTGCAGCTAGTATGATTTCTGCAGTATGCAGTACATAGGCCGTGCACGCAATCTACATTAGTATTAGCGTTAAAAATGGTGGTTGATATTGCAGTAGAAATGGAGGTTTAAAGGAACAGTTCACCTAAAAATGTAAATTTGCTGAAAATGTACTCACCCCCAGGACATCCAATATGTAGGTGAGTTTGTTTCTTCATCAGATTTGGGAAAATGTAGAATTCCATCATTTGCTGACCATTGGAGCTGATAAAAACATCACAATAATCCACAAGTAATCCACACCACTCCAGTCCATCAGTTAATGTCTTGTGAAGACAAAAAAATCCATCAAGATGTTTTTTTGTTTTTTTTACTTCAAACCATTGCTTCTGGCTAAAATATGAGTCCACAATTCATAAATAGCTTTCTCCAGTGAAAAAGTAATCTCATTTGACTCAAGAGAGAAATATGCACAGATCAAACACCGTTTACAAGCCAAAACAGCTCTAAACAAATATGTAGGTGGAAAAAAGGAGATGGACTTTTTCACTGGAGGAAGCGTTATTATGGATTATGGACTCATATTTTGACCAGAAGCAACAATTTAAAGTTAAAACGTCTTTGTTTGTTTCTTACAAGCACTCAGCTTTTGGCGTCATAAGACATAAACTGATGGACTGGAGTGGTGTGGATTACTTGTGGATTATTGTGATGTTTTTATCAGCTGTTTGGACTCTCATTCTGACGGCACCCATTCACTGCAGAGGGTCCATTGGTGAACAAGTGATGCAATGCTACATTTCCTCAAATCTGTTCTAATAAAGAAACAAACTCATCTACAATTTTAATGGACTGAGGGTGAGAACATTATCATTACATTTTCCAAAAAAATAAATAAAATAAACATTTGGGGTGAACTATTCCTAAATTGAGAGCATTGCATTGTGGTATAAATTACATGCAATGCATATGCGTACAGACATTCTGCATACTGTGCACAATATATATACTACAGTGCTCAGAAATATATTAGTGTGCATTGCAAACAGCCTATGAGTGGCACTTAAAAATAAAATGAATTAATTAACTGAAAAATGTAAAACAAATGTAAAATACAAAGTGTTTTTCTTGACTGACAGACATAGCTATATACAAATAAAAATGTTAATTTAATTCATATATAAAGATATGGTTAGATGCAACAATAAACATTTTTTTATATTGCATTAGCCAATTACTTTTCTATATATCTACTTGCCAATTGAGTAAAAAAAGCCAGAAAAGATGAACACTGATGGAGACTTTGGTCCCAAGACACACGTTGCATTACATTAAACTAAATAAAATGAATCACAGATGGCTCTTATAAATTGAAAAATGGCTAATTTATTTCATCAGAGAACACTAATGTACACTGCTGTATCTTACAGCGTGACAAACCCAGCATGACCTTCCGTTTCAAGTGTGATGAAGGTTGCTTTTTTAAAAATCTTCTTCGCAACCAAAAATGAAGACATTTAAATGCAAAATAACCATATCTATTTCTAAGATGACCAAACTCGCTAAAATTAAACATGCAACTCCATGATGTTATGTAGCAGCAAAGTAGCACACCACATTTTCCATCATTAATAAAAAAAAAAAAACAGCATGCAATACATAGTATTCACTGTGCAGGTTGCAGTTATTGGCACGCAAGTATTGCATTCTGAACATTTCTGAAATTCTCTGGCCTAAAAGCACATTTATTTGCTATGCACTTCAGGATGCAGGACGCATTTTCCTCCTACTCTCAGAAAAGCCAAGGTTCCGTCTACTGTTGCGCTTTGTTCTCGATGTATGAAACAACCTTGTAGACATCCTGACAAATAACAGCACAGTTCAATGAAACGAGCATTAAACAAAGCATTAAGGGTTATTTTTCTCGCTTTACTCATTTCCGTTTCTTCTCTTCACACGCACACACACACTGGAATACTTGGCATCAAACGGATGATGCATGCACAAGGTAAATCCCAATGCATTATGGGGAAGGTTATAAAACAGAAGGGGGTTATTCCCTATTCCCTTTTCAATTCTTATCTTCACAGCTCAATTGGCACCTCAGATTTTAATACCTGGCAGGTTCTGCTCCCCAGCCTGGCGTTTTATATCTCTAGCTGGGTCAACACTCACACGCCGCATGCACAAATACGCTTGATTATGAAGTGCTCCATGCTATTTTCGCTCTGTTGTGCAAACCACATCGGTCTTTTCCCAGGGTGCTCCCTGCAGAAATGAGACGACGGACCAGATTTGCTTACTGGGATAAAAGAATATTTGGGGGCAGTGAGGAATCCAACTTAGATGAACATATTACAGGCAGAAACATTAAATAAAAATGAAGTTAAAATCACATTAACTTGTGGTCTAAGATCTAAAATCACCATAAAAACGAGGGTGAGTTTAAAAAGTCTGTGTAAATGTACCAGATATGTACAATGCAGTATAAAAGCCACTCTAGATTTAACCGTAGTACACATGCGAGCAGATCATGAATGTGCTATAGGCTCCACATCAGAGTTTCACCATCTCAGAGCTGTCAAAACTCAATCTAGATCCATACGGACCAGAGGCAGCGTGTGAAAACAGCCAGGAAAGATTCAGTACAAAGTCGCCATCTCTCAGAGAACGGCCGTCTGATTGACATATAAAGCAAAGTTGATGCAGTTTTAGCGTTCATTTTAAGGGTCTATGTTGAATTTGATAAAGGATTGTAGAATTTTTGTTTTTTAAATATACATATAATTTACATACATACTGTTAATTTAATAAATGTTTAAAAATGTAGTTAAATGTAACAAATACTAACATATTTTTAATGCAACTTTTATATTGCATTTTAAAAAAGCCAGCTTAATCAGTGAAAAAACACTTTTTTCCCCCAAATAAATATATAAAACTATGAATGTAATTAATGTTTAGTTAAATGTAAAAGATAATAAAATATTTTAATGCTTCTTTCATATTGCATTTTTTAAAAAAGCATTTGCCAACTGTTTTTAATCTATTAGCCAATCAGTGGGAAAAAAATGCTTGAGAGTTTATTTTTTTCCCCAAATAATTATATAGTTATATACATATAAGTGTTAATTTAATTAATGTTTACAACATGTAGTCAAATGTAACAAAAAGCCAATTGGTAAATAAATAAATAAATAAATAAATAAATAACATTTAACAGTTAATTTAACATTTAAGTTTTTTTTGTAACTTAATTATAATTGAAATATGTGGATAAATGAAACAATAAATGATTTTTTTATGCAACTTTTTGTTTTTGCATTTGCCAGTTGTTTTCAATCACTTGTTAAAGGTCACATATTTTACACCTTTCTGGAGTTTTATTTTAGGTTTCGATGTCCTTAAGAAGGTGACTGAAGGCGGTGACTGTGTAGTTCTGACGTCAACTTTTACGGAAGTCACAACGGTTCGTGAAAAATCACAGCTACTTTATGCAGGCTGTGTGCATTTTACTGTGGACTGACTGTTTTGAAACTTATATGGTAGTTACATAGCACCTAAACCTCAGTTATCGTGAAAAAAGCCAGGAAATTTCATTTTTGACAATATGGGACTTTTAAATGCTTTTCAATATCCATAGCCTATCAGTGGAACAAAAAATAGCATCGGACAGGTTCACAAATAATATCTCTGCTGCTTAAAAATGTAACAATTATTAAGAAGAAAATGATGATTGATTCTACCTATTGTCCAACATTTTCCTTTTAAGTGTGAAGAATGAACCGAGATAATGTTTTAAC